AAGAATGAATGAGCATAAACCAGAGGTAATTTAAACTAGTAGGCTCATGTGAATTGGTAATGTGAACTAGTAATGTAATTTGAACTAGTAAAGCCCCCCATTAAATTGGCCTAGCGACTCTTTGCATGTACCGGTGCACAACAATTGGATTAATCTTAAATGCTGAATGTACCCGGGCCAGTTTGAATCATTTGTTCTTCATTACGTTTTGTGTGAGCAGCATCTCCAGCATGACTGTCATGAATTCAACTGGCTTTGTATTTCTCTGAAGACAGAAGTTCACGGGTGAAACATCTTGAAAATTCCCCGGCTGACAGCTCCTCCTTACAGGTTCCCTGTAATTAATATGCGTTGCTGACGCCGCGTGACAAAGATTTAGCTGTACTCATCCTGTGGACTCAGTTCATTTGTATTGGGTGGTCAATAGTCTGTAGGATATTTAGTACTTATCCTGGAACATTCATTCATACATCTGATACAGCGTAATATGGCCTGCAGCCATAGGCCCGAATATGGAGCTAATATTGGCCAAAACGTTCAAATACAATAATTCAATTCATAAACAACATATTAAGCACCAAATATATATGGTTTTTAATATGTTGTTTATGAACAGAATTATTGTATTTGAACATTTTGGCCAAAATTAGCTCCATATTCGGGCCTGTGGCTGCAGGCCATATTACGCTGCGTGCTGCGTGCTGCGTAACTGCCGACATTTTCTGTGGAACGTGGTTTATATATGATGACGTCATAGGGGGGCCTGTGACGTCACAATGCGAGGTTATATATACAGGCTGCAGAAGCTCAAACCTCCACTATCACAGCAGCGTACTTGTGTAACTGTTGTGTTGATGGTGAGAATTCATTCGAACTGTTGTGGCTGAAGTAACTTTCTAACGTCTGTAGAGCAGCACATGCTGTAGAGAGCGAGTTCATTTAAGAACTTACTGTGTCAGTCTTGGTGGTGTTTTCAGTGCAGTGTCCTAACTAGTGAGTAATGGAGAGCGTTAGATATAACGAACTACACAGAGAACTGGAGAAGGCCCAGGAGAAACTGAAACAGCTTAAAGAACAAGAAAAGAATCTGTGGGAAAAAATCACAGCAGAGACAGAAAACGTTCAAACGATGAAAGGTACATTGCAGATCCACTGTGAGAAATGCCTGCGTGCACAGATTATTGTAACGGAGGCAGAGATTAAAAAGATGAGTAAGGAGCTGGAAATGCTGAGAAAGAACACAGTGGAGAAGAGAGAGGAAGAAGAGAGGAGAGAGGAAGGAGAGAAAAGAGAGGAAGGACAGAGGGGGGAGGATGAACAGAAAAGAGAGGAAGAAGAAAAAACAGAGGAAGAAGAAAAGAAAAAGGAAGAACCGAGGAGAAAGAAACCGCCCAGGTCGAAGATGAGTAAAGCGTGCCAGTGCCCGAGCGACAGCATGCTGACCAGCGAGGACATGAAAAAGATGAAAAAGCTTCAGAAAAGGCAGATGGAAGAACTCAAGAAGCAGAAGAAGAAGGAAGAAAAAGAGAAAGAAAAGAAGAGAAAGGAAGAACAGAAAAGAGGTAAAGAAGAGAAAACAGAGAAAGAACAGAGGAGAAAGAAACCGCCCAGGTCGAAGATGAGTAAAGCGTGCCAGTGCCCGAGTGACAGCATGCTGACCAGCAAGGAAAAGAAAGAACTGGAAAAGCTGCAGAAAAGGCAGATGGAAGAACTCAAGAAGCAGGAGAAGAAGGAGAAGAAGGAGGAGGAGAAAAAGAAAAAGGAAGAAAAGAAGAAAACAACAAAAGAAAAGAAAAGCTTCTGGAGAAAATTTCTGTGTTGTTGAATGAAAGAATCAGAATGTGGTTACAGTTTTAGAAACATCAATAAATGTTAATAAACTCTCAATGTGCCTCTTGATGTTTGTTACATAATTAAATAACCAGCAGCTAATACGGCAACTACTACAACTGCTACAACTACTAAGAACTAACTATTGACTACTTCTACACTGTTAAAAAAGATGGTTCTTCAAGGGTTCTTTAGCAAAGACAATGGTTCTCTATAGAACATGAACACTCAAAGTGCATGGTAGTAGTAGCAGTAGTAGTATTTCATAATCTGGATGTCATAAACTACTCAAAACTTTAAAGTTTACAGGTGAAATTAAGCCTTTTTATCTAGCCATGGATGTGACATGGTGAAAATAGTCTTTTTCTCTCAGGTAGCAGGTTATAGTGCAGAGTGCATTAAAGAGGCTGATAAGTCATGCTTCCAGACTACTTAAAGAGTATCTACACCCTAAGACCTTTTTTCATTAACAGCTGAAATGCATTTCTCTGTGATAATAAAATATGGCTTGAAATGTGAACACATCTTTCCACACTGTAAAAATATCATTTTTATCATGGTCACTTCCGCCTCTGCAGCGCCCCTCTGGTTCAACTCTGCTATAGGCGTGGATGATAAATTTAGCTTATCAACACTGCAACGTTATGGATTCAGTTGTAACTGAAATATTCAAGTGAGACAAGTATTAGGATTTTTTTTTATTTTGTCAAATTTACGAATTTTGTGGTATGTGGTCTTTTGCAGCTTGCAAGTTATGTGACATTTACTCATGACTGTCCCTATTCTAACTTTAATTATGAGAAAAAAAACAATAAGAGAATAGTACAATAATGTTTCTTTTCTAGGTGAAAAACTATAGAGAACTGGCATGTCAGGCCGATTCAACTGGCCTGCTTGAAGCACATGTGAAACGATCCAGAAGGGATTTAGAGCTGACTTGTATCTCTTACTTGTATTGTGCATTGTGTAGAAATGAAAGTCTGTGTTGTTGTTATTATTATTATTATTATGATGATGATGATGATGATGATGATGATGAAATGTGCAGCTACTCAGGCAAGAGTACATAGCAAGAGTGTGTCATGTGAGGTCAGTTCTATTGAAGTCGCTTATGAGACCTTTTGGTACCTCCAACTCCCTAAACAGAGCCAGGCTTGACCTTGACCCTGACGGCTTTGTATTCATTGTACAAATATAATCTATTTATTAGAAGCTGCTCTTAAAATTGTTAAACCACTGTGATAAAGAACATAATTACCTTTCAGTGATTAGACTCTCACACTATAAACTTTCTTCCATTTAGATTCAATTGGCAATTAGTAAATTCATGTGCTTTAATTATCAAATGATTAAGTCATACTTTATAATGACTGTAGGGTATGTTGAGGACCTCATGGATCTGCCCTTTGAGCATGTGGCAAACATAGGTGCATACCTAAAGACCTCATTTCGCAATGTGTTCAACCCAACAAAAGGCAGCAGCAAATCTTCAGTCTTGCTTCAGGGACAACAAACAAAGCAGTAAACCCTGGATGACAGGTGAGGCAGTGTACGACCTCAGGCAGCATGCTGAAAGCTAGGTTGTGATGCTGGCAATGCTAGAGAACTGCGTGCGTAAGCTAACAAGCTTAGGCTACAAAGGTTGGGTTCGCTTTTTTTCTGCATTAACAAACTTTTAACAAACCTCGGTCACCTCTCTTCTGTACAAGTGTTCTCGACAAGTGAGAGATTTGCACAGTGCCCACAAGTGCAGGATGCAGTATTTAAAGTTTCTATGTAGTGCACTATGTAGGGAGCAGGGAGCCAGTTGAGATTCAGGCCCAGCACGAGAAGAAGGGCGCTGCTGGATTGGTGCTAAATAAGACTCGCGGTGGTAACTTGGTGACCAGAAAGTACTTATAAAGCAAAGGTTTTGTAATAAACTGTACTGTGTTATCATATGTTCATGGTTATATGACACAAAGTAAAACAATTCATGAAATGTCTGCAATATACAGCGATGGACGACCAAATGTTCTCCTCATTCAGCAGCCCATTTCTTGGTGTTTTTTGAAAAAGTGTGTACTTAATCATATTTCATGTTGGCTGCTGTTTTATAAAAGCAATAAGTCACGTCAGTCTGTGCATTTCTGCGTTTTTATCATAGGGAAGGAAGTAAGAACACCCTTCCCATGATAAAATCACAGTAACCAACGGCCTCTCATCACTTACTGCTTTATTAGACAATGTTTAAAGAAATCCACTTTATTTTTTTGGTATTCAGTACATTTACGAAATCAGGATGCGGGTTTAATCTAATATGGATTTTACTTAGCAGATGATTAGAAGCTACGTTAGCTGACATGGTTTTAGAGAATGTTCTACCCATTCTGACTCCTCTCCTGCTCGCTGTTAATCATTTTCTGGCACTGCGTTAACTCTTTGATGGCTCTTTTATTTGAAGTTTGTCCCAAATAGTAGGGCAATATTTCAACCACTACCCCTTGTGAGTCAGTTCCAAGGAGCAAGGTGACACTGGAAAACAAGAGGTAGGGGTTAAAAATAACGAATGGGATTGGGCCTTGTTATCTGCATATTACCCTACTGTTTTACATCCCTCCAGTAAACTCACAGAGGATGAAGAACGCATGTAAATTTTAAACTTTTGAGTCATTTTACCAGCAAATATGAATATGCATCATATAGAAGATGGAAGAATTTTCAGATTCTTCATTTGGACAAGTATGTAGTTGGTACACTGGTATAAGTTTGGCCTTTTGGACTTTCAGTCTGAACTCTCTCCTGCCAGTTCACTACAGAAGTGAACACTAGGTGGCAATAAAATCAAAGACATGCTGTTTTCTGGGTTTCTTAAAAATGTTAAGGTGTATGAATATTAATTACTAGCATTTTTATTTTCTGCTTCCTCAAAGTGGACTCAGATGAGCACAGGCTATTAAAATTGTCTGTTTTGTACTTTGTAAGTAAAACATGATTTTATCCCAAACCCAACAGAACACATTACAGGGATAAAAAAATCAGAATTGCAGCCATATAGATTTCATTTTATTAACCAAAGATGTTTCATTATATGTGTAAAATATAGCAGAAAATGAAAATACTTGAGTGCAGTACCTGTATGTATCTACCAGGCACTTCTGTAAATAAAAACAACAACAGTAATAAAAAAACTTAATATCTTTCCACAGCAGCTGTGAACAGTTTCAGTCTGAAAGCGTCTCCTACACAGGCTGATAAAACAGATCTTAAACAAGACAGAAATGGCAAGCAGCAGTGAAATCAGCAGCATTTTTAATAAAAATGAAGGTATTCAAAAGGGTTTTTTGATAAAATAGTGTTACATGAGAATTCAAAAATTCAAGATTTCTGTATAATTTAGAGGCTGAGACAATTCAGAGTTTTCTGATGTACATGATGCATTGGAGAGAAACTCCAACTTATTGGATTTGGATTTCTTTGCAATGGTGAAAGGAACCAGTGATGTCTACAACGCAAATGACACCTGAGTTTTTATATGTAATGTTAACAATGGTGAAATAGTGGTAAGTCTGGAAAAGAAAGTCCTGCATGTGTTTAAAAATACATTTTAGAACAAAACCTTATCAGACAGCATGTTCATAACCAATTCATGTTACTTGTAGAGGCACAAACTATTCAGACATCTGGTTCTTATCACCACTGCTGTGAACAATTCTGAGTTTCTTTTAAATGGAGCATTTCACATCAGACCACTCTGAATGACTTTCTTTAGATCTTAATGGTTTAATTATGCACACGTTTTGAAAAACTGGTGGAATTTCTCTTTTTGCACAGACTGCAGTCATTATTACACTAATGACACTGTGACACTGACAGGCACTGTGTGTGTCGGAACATCATCACAAACTTTAGAAGTCTTAACCTCACACGGGTGGTTGCTCTGTTCATAAGAACACAGTCATCTTTGACTGAAATAAAAGTAGATCCTATTCTTCACAGAGCAAAACGAGTACACAAACTTTGGTCCTTTTTGGCACTTACAATAATCAACAACAATCCAAGTACGACAAAGGTGTAACAACACAGTTTCACACTTTAACTTTAACCAAGAAGTCATGTAAGCTTTTAGAAACAAAACCATTTATTCTCTCTCTCTCTCTCTCTCTCTCTCTCTCTCTCTCTCTCTCTCTCTCAGCTTGTCATTGTGTGCTCATCTGTTTCTGGCACACATATTCATTCAAACATAGTGGTGGCCAGTCCAGTTTGTCTGAAGGTCTCGGCCACTTGTTTGGAGTGCTGGATTTTGGCTGAAAGCGCCTCAAACACGTCGTTCTGGTCCTGAGCAGTGGCAGTCCTGTAGATGAACATGCCCAACGACTCCAAGCCCCTCATGCCCAGGTTCACACCACAACCTTTCAGACAAACATTAATAACATATCATATCATAAAAGAGAAGCTCATAGCAGAAACTACATAATGTAAAATGCCACAAGTAATACATTGACTATATAGCCAGTCTGACAGCCTTTTTATCCAAAACCAGCATGATTTAGTATGCAACAGTGGCCAAAAATAGCTATAAAACTCAAAATGTCAAGGGCCAGGCAGCTGAGGACGCCTCCAAAATGGCAAATGTAAAGTCTACAGCAAAGGTTATGGCCATGACCTTCATTCCTGGATAACAGAAATTTGACACTGCACACCTAACTGGGAACATTTAGCTTTTTTGTCATTAATAAATGAACATTTCCTAATTGGCTTGAAATTACTGCAGGTTAAATATAAGTAGAAAATATACAATTATTAAATACTGACATTTTTCACTCTCAAATGTTCAACCCAGGCTTTGCTAGTTAGTAGAGTCCTGCTGGTGACATTCCATATAAATAAAAATAAAGTGTGGCCAAGACTTAGTAAGGCGTGTGAATGGGATCCTATTGCGTGGCTACAACTTAGTAAGGTGTGGGAATGAGATAATTAAGCCTTGACCACAGCATCATAAGGCATGATGCCTTGTGCCTTAGGGCATGACCCCAACAGGGCTCTGTAAGTTAGCTGTTAGATGATGAGTTACTTGTTTTAAAAAAGGTATAATGTTAAACTCTGCAGTTCTCTCACCTATTAGGGCTTCTTTTACTACAAACACATGTTAAATGTGTGGTCTGAACTCATAAACTGACCAGTGTCGAAGTTGAGCACGCGGGCAGCCTCTCCCTCCACAGTGACAGCCACGTTATCCCCCTCAATGTAAGCAGCGCAGACCCGCCGGTGGGACAGCATGATCTCAAATAGCTTCCGGCTGCACTGCATCCGCTGCAGGGTCAGCTCACTGAGTCGAGGCTCAATGTCTGTCTTATAGGCGTTGAAGGACTGGTGGAATATGTTCTTCATGATCTACACCAGGAGAGAAAAAGCAACGGTTGTCAGTGTGTCAATGAGATTTTATACAAAGTAATGTGGGATCATTTCTATGAGTGTCTGTGTGCTTTTTAAAGTAACCAAAAAGCTCTAGACCTCCAATTATCCAATAATAGTCACAGTCAAAGAAAAGCGTGTTCATGTACTCCTGTAAAAAATAGAAATGTACCATTAGGGGAAGCACATATTCAGACATTATATGACATTTTATGACACTTCCAGTGCATATATTCACTTCTACACATAATGAAACTGATGAATAACAAAACTGTTAGTAAAATTTGCATGCGCTCATTTTACAATCAGATTTGACAATGCACAACTTTGATGAATAAGGGCTAATTTGTGTATCAACCTGAAATGGATATATGTACTTAAAGGTTATTAAATGACAAAAAATTGACTGAATACTTCTTTTATCCTTACTGTATCTAGTTGATCTAACGTATGTTTAGCTAAATTTAGTTTCTTAATTATAATAACTGTGAAAAATGATATACCATACATTTCCTATGCACACACACACATACAAAGAAGTGAATAAATGCCACATGCTCCACTGACTCACATCCTTGCCCCCGCCCTCCTCCCATGGTGTCTTGGTAACATCTCCCCTGTCTTCTGCACCCGTCACACACATAGACTCTCTCTAGCTGTAACCAGGTAACAGCATGTGTCTGTGTGAATGACGTGCTCTGTCACACTAACAGCTGAGCGCTGTGACGCCACTGTCTTATTAAATCTCCTCTCTTTCTCTTTCTCGTTCTCTCTCTCTCTCTTTCATTCACTCTCTCTCTCTCACTCTCTCTCTCTCTCTCTCTCTCTTTCTCCCTCTCTCTCTTTCTATTTCTCTGTCTCTCCCTCTATATCTCTCTCTCTCTTCCTCTTGCTCTCTCTATCTCCTGCACGCTCTAGCTTACTTTCTTTCACTGTTATTCTTGACTGTATGCTCTTTATAGTGACACAGACTTTGCCCTTTATTTTCACTCTTTCTTTCAATCCTTTTTTTTCTATGTCCACACATGCGTCCATCCATTCATCCAGGCATGTCCCATGGACCAGCATGTGATTTCAGCAGGATGGTATGTGCTTCCATTAGTGCTCAACTAAATCACTTTGCCAGTATTTTAACTTGTAGCATTTCAGTTTGTGACCTACACTCCCAAAAGAACATATTACACTGTTAGGATATGCTGCCAAAATGTGTGCACTGAAAAAGTATGACACGATCTTGTCTATCCAGTTTTCTTAACTTTGGCAGTAAATGTGTTGATATATTTTATTTGTGTAAAAATTATGTATACATTCAAATAAGTAAATTAAAGCACTACTTTTTTCAGTGTATACAGGTACCAGGGCGAACACAAAACCAACCGCAACCACACTGGCTACAGCCGGAGGAGTGATTAGACTTTTACTCTGCTGTACTCTCTCTGAAACACTCCTCCGGGGGTACGGTTGGTTACAGTGCTTTTCTCAGCCTGAGAGAGCGGGAGAGCAGGTGTGAGAGCCTCACACAGCATCAGAGAGCTTTCATTGGACCTGCTCTCTCAGCCACTCATGTGGAAATCCCCACTGCAGGCCAGCACACACGGCTCCCAGAACAGGGAAAGCCTGTCACTTCCGTAGCTCTGCCTGACTGTCATCAGGGAGCCAAAAGCTTACGTAACTTTTAATGCAACATATTATATAATTTGGTAAATATAATAGTTATAAAAGATACTTCTTATGTAAGTTGATATGTTCAGGAAGACAGTGGAGAATCCCAGAATGTTACTGATGCAAGAACCTTGTAGCTACTTTACAGGAGGTGGGAAAAAAACACCCTTTTTCGCTGTTACTCAGAATAGTTTTCGACCATTTGTTAAGAAATGTTCACTTAATGTAAAGCTTAGCTTTGGTGTAAAAAAAAACAAAACAATGCTGAATAAAAATAGTGTTAAGAGGTTTTCTTATGACAACAACAATATTATTTTCTGCTAATGATAATGAGTACATGAAATAAAACCCCTGTGGAGTCTTACTCAAGCCTCTTTAAGGTAGCTTTGTAAAAGTGAAGCAACTGTAAGTGTATTACTGAAGAGTTGGCTGTGTGGCGCAGGAAACGCATCATCTTTGAGTCTGCGGATGTGCAGGCCAAGGCCATGTATCGGTTCCGGAATGTTCCATAGATCTTCAGGTGAAAGCAGGGTTTGGCTGAGGCCTGAGAGGAGCTGCGAGGTTCTTTAATGGCGTCGATGCCGTACGCTGACAGGTCAAAGTACAGGCTGTGTGCCCTGATCTCGGGTGTGGGGACCTACAGTGAACAGAGAACAACACAACTTATGAGTGTCCAAAACAGCATAAAAATCTACAACTCACTTAACCACCCTGTCACTCTGCCACCCCCGGCCAGTCATTTAGAGGGGCACTGCCCCATCAACTCAGTAAACCTGCTATTTTGTACACGCTTCTAAAGTGGCATGCTATAAATATATATTTGCCATAAATGTGGCTGTTCTGTTGATTTTCCTGATTGTGTGGCTCATTTGGACAGATCTACCTTAGATTTTGCAAAGTTTTGATATATATATTTTTTTCATCTGCAGGGGTGCACTGCAGCAACATCCTACTTGGATGCAAAATAATATCATTCATTCTTGCATGCAAAATAATATCATTGGGATCACTGGGGAGCCCAGTGATCCCAATGATATTATTTTGCATGCAAGAATGAATAAGATTTAATATTTCATCCATTTTGATGAAGAAAATATCAATAAACATTAAGGTAAACAGAATAAAACAATTAACTACATATATAATGTACATATACACCGACTGGCCATGACACGTCCTTGTATCTACACCCTTTGTCCATTTTATCAGCTTCACTTATCATATAGATTCACATTGTAGTTCTACAATTACACAGTGTAGTCCATCTGTTTGTCCACGTACTTTGTTTGCTCCCTTTTACCCTGTTCTTCGATGGTCAGGACCCCCACATGACCACCTCAGAGCAGGTATTGCAGTGACATTAACATGGTGGTGGTGTGTTAGTGTGTATTGTGCTGGTCTGAGTGGATCAGACACAGCAGTGCTGCTGGAGTTTTTAAACACTTCATTGTCACTGCTGGACTGAGAATAGCCCACCAACCAAAAATATCCAGCCAACAGTGTCCTGTGGGCAGCATCCTGTGACCACTGATGAAGGACTAGAGGATGACCAACACAAATTGTGCAGCAGTAGATGAGCTATTGTCTCAGACTTCACATCTACAAGGTGGCCCAGTGAGTGGACACAGTGTTTAAACACTCCCGCAGCACCGTTGTATCTGATCCACTCATACCAGTGCAACACACACTAACATGCCACTGTCACTGCAGCATTGAGAATATTGTCTATATAAATGAAATAAATAAATGACCAATTAAATATAATTAAATATAATTTTAGTCATTTAAAAAATTAAATTTAAGTACGGTAAGAATAATAAAACCTCATACTCAATACTCAAGGGGCCCCATATGGTTTATACCACTTATAGTAAGGAACAGCCCTGGGGAGGAGGAGATGTCCCTCTTTTAAAACATTCTGTCAGAAACAGAGATAATGGGATATTTAGATGGAAGAATAAAAAGGAATGCAGGTATTTTGACATGGGGTGATGTTGGACAGTCAGACTACGCTGCCATGCATGTAAACAGCACTATAAATAGACTAATCTTTTTCAAATCATATGTTTTGGTTTGCTTAGACTAAGTATTTAGTCAGGCTATTGTGTGCATGTAAATGTTAAGGGTTAACAGTGTCAACAGGTTGCTGACCTAGTTGACGCAGGAAGTTGACACCCTTTCGCTTGGGTTGTTAAAGTGAAACCATAACCAATTTCCCACGGCATTCATTATTCCTTGATGTAAACATCGTTCTACTGACGTCAACAAACCCGTTGTGTTTCATCTCAGTGTAAAATAATGCAGAAATTACCCTGGCAGTTAGATCACAAATCGCTAGGTACGTTAATTAGCACATCAGTGACAAATGACCATGTTTCATGTAGCTGGAGAAGTAAAAGGCAAAAAGCATTCCCTCTTCTTTATTATGAACAAAACATGCCAAGCTCATCGTTTTGTCTTTTCTATTTCTGTCAAATGGTGGCCTAAAAAAATGACCATTGCTCTTTCTGACTCAATCACACATTACACTGATGCAATGAAGATAGGAAATTTGACTGGATAATCATATTTCCTATGTAAGGCAGAATCTACTAGATAGGCAGGCACTGTTTTCTAATAAATGCAGAAATGCTAGCGCAGCGTGACCCAGCCAGGTCATATAAGGAAATGACTGGTCTCTATTACAGCTGAAATGAAGATTCAGAAATGACACTCAGTGAGCATGAACCTCTGGCCTCAGTTGACCCAAATCTCCTTTAGGAATACATACACACAACTCAGGAACACATAACATTTCAACCATGATGTTTCATCTTTATCTTTTGCTTCTTTTCTTGTGTAAAGCACTTTATGATTTTGTAACTAAAATGAAAAGTGCTGTATGCAGTGAGGGGGATGAAGGATTCAAACACTTTTGTGTTTGTTATTTAATACATATGTTCACTTCACATTTACACACATGCCCTTTTGACTTTGTACTTAAGTATGTATAAGAATAAACAAAGAAATGGTATGGAAAAATACAAATTAATAACAATAATACTCTGTTGCAAAGCCATTATTGGCAATTACAGATATGCGACATCTATGGAAAGAAATATTAAATTTTTTGTAGCATTGTGGTTTAATAGTGCCACATTTCACTTGGCACTTGGGACTTTTCTCATTTCAAAATGTATTCTATAAGTCTTCAATGGAATTATAGTCAGGGGATTGGCCAGGCCATGCAAGCACCTTCATCTTCTTTTTTAGAAAATTTACTTTGTTTGGGGTTGTTGTCTTGTTGAAACGTCTTCGCCTCTTTCTTGGCTGAGATTAAATTCAACTCCAATATGTCCTGGTACTTCATTCCATTCATGTTTCCCTCGATATCCTGTAATGCTCTAGTACTGTTTGCAGAAAAGCAGCTCCATATCACAATGCTACCACCCCCGTACTTCACTGTGGGGATATTGTTCTTGGGATCATATGCGCAAACCTTCTTTCTCAAAACATGGTGAGCTGAATTGTCTTGTCTGGCAGGAGTACATATGGTTTTAAAGGAATTCTGATTTGTGTATGTGCACGTTTTAGATCTCTGTGCTCCTTTTTTAGCAGAGGAGTTTTGCGGTGGGCTTATGAACAGAGATGATGGGTGTGCAGTTCATTGCTTATTGTTCGCTGTCTAACTGTTGTTCCTGCTGCTTTCAGGTCATCATGCAACTGTTTTCGAGTGACTGCTGGCCTCACTCTTACCTTCCTTATCATTAGTCTGAGAGCACCATGGTGCACCTATCTGGGGACAATCAGTTATGGTTGATGAACTTTCCACCTGAATATTATTGGAACAACTGTCAAGAATGTTTAAGGTCTTTCCTGAGGCTCTGTAGTTTATTTGATTCAAGTGTTTAATACTGTTTTCCCTGAGAACTTTAGGGAGCTCCTTCACCTTCACTTTGAGTGCTACTTGTTGAGTGAAATCTTCAACCAATCGCAATGTCTTTTAAAATGATACCATTATAATTATATTTAGAATGCAATTATATCCATAGGCCTAGGCCATAAGTCGGCAACCCATATGTTAAGAAGAGCCATTCTGTCAAGTTTCAACAAAAAATCTTTTACTTACTTTGCTCTGCTTTAAGCTTTGGCTCAGCTATAGCTGCCAGGAGAGGCGCCTGCTTCTAGTAAAAAAAGGAGTATTAATTAATGTTGTCTATATTGTTGTTTGTCAGTTAAAGGAATGTGCTATGTGTTAGGGAGTGGATTTAGTTAGATTGGGTTGTGTTTACCAGGGGGTGGAATTGTATGGCTAGAGATGACCTGTGTTTTAGTGATAGACATTGTGTTTCTTTTCGGTGAATCAGATTATTCGGCTCAGCTCATTAATAAATGTCGACTCTTTCAGCTCCCAAATGGCTCTTCATTCAGCTGCACTGTCAGTTTCTTGATTAGCATAATTAACAGTACTTTTCTTTTCAATAAAACCTTTGTCTACTTTCTAATTAACAAAAATTGCATTATATCGGTTTGAAAAAAATGAATTAGATGTTAATAAGAAGATTTAATGGATGAATTTCGAGAGGCAGGAAAAACGCAGGCAAAACCATCAACCAGTCACCAACAGGTTAGAGTCAAAAATCAGAATAACTAGTGAGGCACACTGGGAAACACAGCTAAGAAATAACACAAAAGCAGGTGTTGGGGATAATGAGGGGTGGAACCATTTGTTGTGTCTTAATTTAACAAAAAAGAAAAGGAAAAAAACGGCTCCTCAATGCGAGTCAGCTACCAGCGTTCATTTAAAAGAGACGAGCAATGAATGACACAATACTATTGTGTTTGTATCTGCTTTTCTGCCCGGTGTTTAATGAAAGAGCTTTTCTCGTGGTAGAAACCATGGTCTCCCCTGTGTCTCACTCCATGCCAATGCCAATAATAGTAGTAATAGTAGTAGTATTAGTGATAGTAGTGGTAGTCCAGTAGGCTTCAGTGTCTCTGTTCATTTGTTTCAGAGCTGTACAATGTCTGCTTATTTCATTGCCTAGTTTCCCCTTTTTCAAAGGAGCTGAACTCATTAGTGAAATCAGTCAGAACTGAACACTGAGCAATATTCTGTTTGAACTGAGTTTAGTATGTACCAGCCATTACCAGTGTGGTAGTTGTGTATGGCTGCCTAACTGTTAGTATAAAAGATAAGATCAAGCCTGTGCAGACCTTTCCTTGAACCCATCTGTTTCCCATTTGTCACTGAAAACCCCCCACTGACTATTAAATGGCTTACATTTATCTCTCAGTCACTCCACGCTCGTAAGCAGCAGTGGCAGCTGGACAAGCTGTCGCTCCTATCTTGCTAAAAGCACTCAATCATTTAATATTTAAAAAAGATCCAGAAGATTCAATACTGCCATAAAACTGAATTAGTCTGATGTAAATAACTGAATATCAGATACAGAGAAGCTTGCGTCCGTGGCTCAGTGGGAGCGCAGAGCTGCAGTTTCAGGAATTATTAAACAAATAAGTGCAACTGGCATCTACAGTTTGTCTGCCTTTCATTCAGTCTAGATCAGATACCATATGCCTTCTGTCTGACCTTTGCTGGCCTGAGCCTTTTTTATCACTTGTCTTACAGCTACAGCTCTGATATGCAGGACTTAACTAAAGCAGTACGATATGAACATTAAAAGCTACATGCGTGATGCAATGATAGAGCTATGCAGCCACAGCCTCTCCACTGAAGTATATTTAGCTCCAAGGTAAGAACTCAGTCACTTTTAGATCTGCAGATTTAATACAATTTGTTTTCTAAAGAAAGGCACCGCCTGCCTCAGAGGAAATGAACTGAGATGCTGTAAAGCTCTTTTTGCTGGTAGTGATCATATGTAAGCATGAGCCCAAGGTCACCAAGCCAAATGCTAAGCATTAGACATAGGAGTTTAAAGCCCCCCCAGCACTGAGCTGTGGAGCAGTGGAACTTCATTCTCTGAAGTAATGAAGTTTTATTAGATACCTTCGGGATAATCTGGAGTGATCCAGAACATCTGTGTCTGACTTCACTAATGCTCTTCTGGCTGAATGCAGTCAAAACCTTACAGCAATGTTCTGACATCTTGTGTAAAGCCTTTCCTGAAGATTAGAGGCTGTTACTACAGCAGATGGGGTGAACTCTACAAACCTTTGGACATGTGGTGTATGTAGGGCACTATAAAGTTGCATGCAAAAGTGTTCAAAATGTGACCACTTGAACACAAGTGCGAGCTTTTATTTAAATCTGAGAGCATCAGATTCAATCAAGAGCTGAGTAGAGTAGAAATGTCTGTAAATCTCAGCCTGAGGTGCCAGAATGTAACTGCTGCACCATTTAAGGTGGAACGGGAGAATTCCAACACTAAAACTTTTTAGTGTTTGACAGTTTCTCGTTGCAGAATAAATTTCAGGAAGACAGCTGGAGTGCTTATCAATGCAAATAAGTCCATTCATCTCCAAAGTATCGATGTTCATCTTAAGTCTCTCTCTTTGCCGTTTCATTAGCTGCTAGCGAGATTGTTTAGATTGTTTTCTGTGTTTCAGGGTTAAAGATCAGTGATTAGCAGTTATAGGCTACATTAACAGCGTATAAGACCATTTATTGTTAAAACTGTGTTAGAACGATCAGCAGAGCTTTATTTTACTGCGAAGGAGGATTATTTTATTTTTACCTAAAAATGTACTTCTGCTGTGGAGCCGCAACAGGGCTTGAAAGAGCCGCATGTTGCCGACCCCGTCCTAGTTTTTAAACAGGAAAACCTCCCTCTACAGACTGCTGCTGCACTGCTGTCGGAGGCGAGTAGGCCTGTATACAACAGATGTAGCAATGGTTACATTTTTCATTTTGTCCAGAGTGTCACTCTGTGACACTGTGAGAGTGTTTAAAGATATGCTTGCTCCTCTATTTTACTAACATCTTTGTGCTATACAGTTTTTGGAAAGTAGGCCTAGGCTGGTATGTCCACCTTCCCTGATGTCCACTGGTATCAGAGGAGTTAAAGGTCTGTAAAGCTGACCTGTCTCTGGTCCAGTCTCTCTATGGTGGCATTCGCTCCATAGGCGTGGCATGACTCTACAATATACTCTGAGCTAATGCCCAGCACAGAACAGGAGTCCCCACAAGAGCCATCAGCTACTACAATCACCCGGGGCCATTCTCCACTCGGGATCCGCCTCAGATACTCATCTGTGAACTAGAGAGAGAGAGAGAGAGAGAGAGAGAGAGAGAGAGAGAGAGAGAGAGAGATAATGCTTTAAGTGACACAGTGGTTGGAAATGACCTATTTGTAGTCCCTGCACAAGTGTGTTCTTTTGTAGCTACTGCAAAGTTTGACAAGCTTTACAGAGCACTGGAACACAACTCGAAACGCTAACATTTAGAATAATTCCATTCTAATAATATTTCGTTTGGATGTGAGTTGGAGGGAACAACAGTAACAGTAACGCAGCAATATTAACATTATCTAGCAATTCCAAACATTGTGGTGGTCCAGTTTTAATTGTCCTGTAAAAACTGAGTTATGTGCTACAAAGTCCCATCCAATCACTGCTTCACAACCATCTCTAAGCACTTCTCCAGACTCGCAGCTCAGTGACAGAACTATTAATAGACAGCTCTAAGGCAGGGGTGTCCAATCTCATCCGCAGAAGGCCGGTGTGATTACAGGTTTTCACTTCAACAAGCAGGAGGTCACCTTATGAAATGTATGACGACTAAGACCAACTGATTAAACAAGTAGAATCAGGTGTGCTCCAGCTTTTTTGGAGTGAAAACCTGCAGCCACACCGGCCCTTTGCGGATAAGATTGGACACCCCTGCTCTAAGGTAAGCTAAACATCTGGTTACTGTGTTTACTAATGTCCAATTTAATATGATGTTTAATGATAAATAATGTTAGAAATGTTAAGACCAGGCAGTAGCTAATATATCATTGATTGAACTTCAGAGGAAGCAGGATGCAAATGGAAGTTGGTTTTGTTGAAATCTGTGGGAAGAACAATAAAGGAAGAAATAAGACTGAAACTGTACACTAAGAAAACTGGAAAACTACAGACCAACAAAGCTAACAGAGCAAACAGGGTTACAAGTAGCAGACAATGCCAAGGAAAGAGCAAGACAAAAACAAGGGGTATAAATACTGACGAAAATGAACAACAAACACTTGGACAGGGTTACAGACCAGACACAGAGAGGGGCAAGAAGAAAGGGTGGAGCCAGAGAGGGGCAAGAAACCCAAAACAAAAACAAAAGCACATGGCCAAGGAGCTATTTCACATAAATTTCTCAGTTAGCCAGATAATATAAGCCCAAAGATGAGGACTGTCCAATAGGAATGTCCCTCAGTTCTTTTCCTACTGGATAGGCTTGACTTTGGGCTTAACTGATCTGGCTAAACTGAGGAATCCTGCTTTGTGAAATACCCCCCTGAGACACGAGGGAAGGTAAACAAGACTAAACAGACAAAGACAAGGGCAAGGATGTTACAGCTAAGTTAGCTTTTCTTAGCTTGGCTTTAGACATGATTGACTGTTTATTAAAGCAGTTAGAGTAAAAAGGACTATTCCATGCTCACATTTGCAATTAACACATTCATTTTGAAGATAAATATTAATGCCCTTGTACACCTACGTATTCTTTGAGATTTGCATGGAGACCTTGTGTAAAAGATGACATATTCTAAGCACCTTATATTGCAGTTTTAGTCAGGCCATCCATTTGTTTAGTAGGTGATGTTTGTCCAATGTGTTTATTTATTCAGTACCGTTCAGATCTCAAACTCATGAATGAGCAGCTGTTGATGTGTTTTTGGCCTGCTAAACAGATTTTTTTGGTCCAGCCCACTTCCCACTGGACAGACTGGCCCCTTACCTAAAAGAAAACCACAAACAAACAGTAGGCCAAGGAAATGTGGGCGTACGAGAAATCTACATGCTCTAGAATTCAATTATTCTAAATATAGGCTATATCATGTATCAATGTCCAGCTCAGAGACTGGATATGGGAACATGTTTAAAGTGTAGATAATTATAAGGAAGTGATAACACGACCGCATTGGGATGTTTGGCCATTGCTTCCCACTCACACTGAGCCAGACGGACGTCTCATCACCTAAAAGACCCCTAAATCAAATCAAACTCAATTCTAGTTTGCTTTATTAGATATGAGGCCCTCAGTGTGTCCGGCTACATCAGTGCCAGCTTAAAATAGATAAGACTAGATACGGCTTAATGTACGAATTAGACAGGTTGAATGCAGACTCTCTGGCATGTGACTGGATGTTTGCAGGATGAGCAATTAACACAATAACACAAACCATCATGTAAATATTCTAGGCAAATGCATCATCATTTTATATCAGAATGCTGCTGGTCACTGAAAGCTAACAGTCTCTCTCGTTTGATAAAATGCTTTTTTTTGCATTGAGACATTCATTGCTGTTATATAAGCTTTTAACTCATAACATTATTTTTCTTTTGTTTTTCTTTTTTGTGAACATTTCATGAGGAATGGATCAATAGGAGTGTTCTGAAATTACTTATCTCATTACATTAACATACATTGGAACAGAGCATTTTTTCCTTCTCCTAAAAAGTTACTTATTTTGGAGATGTGATATTTTATGATGACACCAGTAGCTGTCATAATAATGTCATCACCTCAGATCTTTTGCTGAAATTCTTGAACAAGTAGGACCCTCCCTATAGGAATTGCCTCAGGTTTTCTGCAGAGACTGCTTAGGGCCCCTCCCGAGCAGGCACGCGGTGCGGATAAGAAGGCTGAAGAAACCCAAACAAAAGTCTGTCCCGACTAAAAATAAACGCGTCTTCATGTCCGGTCAGGAATGAATGCTCCTGCGGCGGGCAGTGAAAAGCTACTGGCCCTTACAAAAGAACGAGACAGGGAGGAGGAGAGCAGCAGGTCAGCTCCAAATCACAGCATTGATCTGAGACACAGACAGACAGAGATAAAGCAAGTGAGAGAAGTAGGGAGGAAAACCAAAGGGGAACAGTGAATCTATTAAAAGGCTTTATTGCTCTCTCTCGCCTTCTTCCTGCGTCAGCACTGTTACCCAGCCTCTTCTCAATGCAATCACCTGTACGTAAAGCCTGCTACGGGTAGTGCAGCATGCGCCATCAAATTCAGTCAGTTTACACAATGCAGCACTCACTGCTGTTCACAGTCTGAGATTACACAACACTGTGATGTGAAGATTTAAAGCAATAGCTAAACAAAGAAAATCATAGTTACACTGTTCTTCTCCTTTACCCGAAACGCAATCAGCCAAAAACACACACCATGTTGAGTTGGTAAGTAATCTCAAATAGAGATTACATACTTGGACAAAAGTGCAGAAAGCTTCAGGTTTCAATATGGCTTTTACTACAATTTTAGCCCTGCAATGTACTTTTGTCCATTTTTATAGACAACATAATGCTACAGTGACAGAAACAACAGAAACAAGTCTACTTGATTATTTAACAACTCAATACAGTTTAAAGCAGGGGTGTCAAACTCAACCACTAAAAGGACCATATTAAAAAAGCTTAAAAAAAATTACTAAACATTTTTCCATTGTTTATTCAAAATATGGCAAAAGTGCAACAGCAAAATAGCCATTAAATACTTATTCAAAATAATAATTCTAAACAAAAATAAATTGTTTTAGGGAGCTCCAGCTCCCCACCGCGACCCAGGAGGATAAGCGGTTTAGATGATGTATGTATGTATGTATGTTTTAGGGAGTTTTTTAAAACTGCCAATTTGCCAATTTGCTTGAATTGGACACCAGGCGTCTTTTCTTTTTGTGTAACTGCTGGCCCACAGATTGTTGGAAAGGGGGTCAGAATGCACACTATGGTGCATGCTGGGGACTGTAGTGCATCTCAGGGTGAAACGGGCTAGTAAGAATAGAAAATTAAAATAATTTTGCGGGCCGAATAGGACTGTGTCATGGGCCTGACTTGGCCCGCAGGCCTTGTGTTTGACACATGGGGTTTAAAGAAAGTGTGAGTAGATCCTAGAGTAAAATTTTATTGCTGAAGTGTTGTTCTGTGGTGGCTCTGCGAGAAATGAGAGCTCAGTTACATGTTATCTTTAACTTTATTGAGATCTGTACTAAAACTTAGCATAAAGTTTCACTTTTCTTTCCTTCTGATCTTATTGTTGTCTGTGAGGAACTACAGAGATATTAAGGAGATCTCTTGTTAGATTTTTCTTTCCTATGGATGTTTTCTTTCCTATGGGATGTTGCAGCACCGTGCTAGTTGGCAGTACCAGAGTGAAAGTAGTCAATGAAAGTAGCCTTTCATTTTACAGATTTACTGTAAAATGAAAGGCTAACTAATTACAATAACTACCACAGAAAGTCTAAATTATGTCAATTTATAACTGGCCAATTTGTGTATTGCTGATGATTGGATGCTTGATGCTTGTTTGGGGTTCTAATGAGTTACATTTTAAATTATAGATGATCTTCTCAGTGTTCTCAATCCAGCAATCCACAGCTAGGTGTCATAACAACGTATTTCTTTCTTTTCCAGCTAACTTTACTTTGGTGGCAGTGGTTTCATCATTGCTTTTTTCCCGTTATAAACATTTTTCTCATTACATACTTAGGTAATATAATTTCTTTTTCACATATTTGTTATACACATCGCACTTTCATGCAAGGTCATACAGAAACCGTTGGGCCCGATCTCTAGGCGACCCGTTACATTTAGAGCATCATATGCTTTCAAAGAGCTAAGACAATTATTTATTATCGCCCACCGCTAATTCTTTCGTGATACGAGGCTGAAGTCAGCTATTCACCAGCTTTTGGTTCGCATTTTCCTGTTCCACCTTAAATGGTGCAGCAGTTACATTCTGGCACTTCAGGCGTCAGAACTGCTGGACTACTTAAGGTGGAACAGGAAAGTTAGCTAGCTAGCTACCGAGACATCAGGATACTATTAGCGATTTTTTATGATTGTTATGAAGAAAATGACCATAATACTAAGATAAAACAATGGTTAGCGTCATTTTAACAGAGAAAATCCTCACATTTGTGGGTTTCTTTTGGTCGCCCGCGCAGCCATCTTGCTGGTTTTCTTTTTTTCTCTTAACACTGTTTGGACTGTGCCTCTGAAAAACCTCCGTTTGGAGGGCCATGTAGCCCTAACACTTCGCCCGACCCCTCTATGTCAACAAAAACTGGGACACCCTACCCCTAGACGTGAACGCGCAAAACAGAGGGCTAAGGGCTAAGTGGTAGGGGCAAGGGGTGAAATGGGATTGGGCCTTGGAGGGAAAGGTGCTCAAACTTAAAAATGAGGCACATGGACCAAAATGATAAAACATCAACTACAGCATAACTCTTTAACTCCAGCAGCAACCAGTATTCAAAAAGTACATGACAAGGAATCTTACATAACATCACTTTACACCATTAAATTGCCTTTCATCAAAATAGTGTTCTCATAATTATTCCAAGATACCCACAGTGTGATGTAAATAATAATAAAAATATCACAATATCTATGTTAATTAACAGTGACTGAAGCTTTTTTAAACTATACAGAATTACTTTCACAGGAACATTGTATACCAGCAGCCAATAAAATAAAACAAGCTCACAAATACAACAAACACATGGGCTAACTGAGTTAAGCCTGCCACCGCATGATAGGCTATAACAGAAACATGTTTCCAAAATGGATGATGGCAAAACACACAGAACCATCCCAAACAATATTCCACTGTCAATATGAAAATGAGAGTTAAGAAGGCCATCAGCTCTGCTGCTCTACTAGACTTGAGTTTGATCAGCTAATTTAGGTGCAGTGTATAAGATTTGGGGGGATCTATTAGCAGAAATGGAATACAGTATACAAAACCATGTTTTCATTAGTGTATAATCACCTGTAACTACAAATCGTGTCTTTGTTAGCTTAGAATGAGCCCTTCTTATCTACATAGGGAGTGGGTCCTCTTCCAGCAGAGACCCCCAGGTTGTGCCACCATGTTTCTACAGCAGCCCAGAACAGACCATCCAAACATTGACTCCAGAGAACGCCGTTCATGTTTTTACATTGAAATGGCGGCTTGAATTTGATGATGCTATAGAACTGGTTAGAATACGTAGGAAGAAGAATCAGTGGTTGCTGCCAATGCTGGCTAACCATTTTGTGTGAGAAGCTTGAGAACCCAAATTTTGACAAATGGAGGATCATGTTTATCGTTTAGCTCAAGAAAAAGCAAGGGAGAGTGAATCCTCGTCGTAAAAGAAGCGAAAACATGATGGCCGCCATAGGTTTTACTGCACGCTTGGAAGGGAGGGGTGAGGGAGGGGTGTTCAGTTGGTTGCAACCTGCAGCTTCACCGCTAGATTCCTCTAAGTCCTATACACTGCACCTTCAATACATTACATTAACAACCAATTTAAGTGAACATTGATTTGGATGGTCCAGACTTTTTCAGCATACCAGCTAAAATTACACTGCTGCACACTTTTTACAAGGGTATTTTCCTACACACAGATTATCATTTAGTCAAACTAGCTCATATTACCAGCAAACCAGCTAATAAAACAACTTATCTTTGAGTAGATACTGTTGTTGATAAGCAAGTTCAGCTGATGGTGATATCAATCACAGATTAATCCAAAGATGTTTTTTATATGTTTTGTCTGAGGAAGTGGATAGAAAACAACATTCTTTTATCAGCATATCTGGATATTTACATTCAAATCTGGCTGAACTGAAGACTGAGTGAATAACACATAGAAACTGTCGATTGGCTGTGATTGGAGGACCAGGAAAACAAGATGGGGCTTCAGAGTGGTCTGTCAAAGAAGGGCAGTTAGATGTACACAAATCATCAATGTAAAAGTAGTTTGAAAAAAAATGCATCCCTGTCATTTTAGTGCCGTTCTAGCATTAAATTATTTAGTCATTTAGGGGCAAAAGAGCACATGTGCCACCACTAGCTAGACAAAATAATAGTACAATAATAAACCAGAAGTTGTTAGAGGCCCCCTGGTGGCCATGGGGCCCGAAGCAGCCACTTGTGTTGCTTAATAGGCAGAGCCAGCGCTGGTCTTCAGGTTAGGAAATGGATTTCACTTCCTACTCCTGCAATATCAGGTATCTGATAATGATCTTTAAATGCTGCACAACGTTACATCATTTTCTATCATTCTGAAAGCTTGTCAGAATTTTCCGGGCCTAGTTACAGTTGCTAAGCTACTATTGGACATTGGGTATTTAGGGAAGGGATTAAGTGAAAGGTGCACTATGACTGGTTTGATTTATTTGTAGAAGTACATCATATTCTTTTGAATATTATGGAAAGTCTAGTTTTTACTTCACAATTTATTGCACAAAGTAATGGAGTGAAAAAGTAGAACAATTTTTAATGGAGTGAAAGTAGAAGTGTCAAAAATGAAAATTCTTTGGAAAAAGACAGATACTTGAAAAAAGTACTTTAATACAGAAATTAAATATATGCACATGCATGTACATGCTTCCATTAGTTATTAGCTACATTAGCTTCAAAACTAAAAAAGCAAGCTTCAGACACCAAACATGTTTTGGCTGAATGATTGCTGGATCAGGCTGTATAATGATGGACCTGTGAAGAGACACGCAGCAGACCCCTGGCCTTCTGCGGTCTGTCAGTAGATGTTCCCACTGCAAAGAAGAATAACGAACATTTCCCCAATCTCACTGTGGAATGCTTTGAAGATTCATTTCTCATCATACGTTCCATACCTACCAGTTCCCCTTAAGGAACATTTCGTTCTTATTACAATTTCATCAGGTTTAATGGAAAACTCTCCTGCTCTTAGAACATCCTTCACATTCTAATCCTCTGCATGCCAGGCAGTGGCGACGCTCAAGGCCGCTGTCTCTGTTCAATCTCACTCATGCATTCAATTTTACTGCTCTGCCTCTGCACTCTTGTTCCTGAGGCAGTGGCTGTTTTCTAATGATAGCACAGAACAATCCCACAGAACGGGGCGGAATAGCAGAGGCCAATGTACGGGTGAATCAACTGCTTGACATGCAAACCCTTGTTTCCTACACACAACGCTATGCTGAATACAGTCAAATTTTAAAATCCTATTTTTAATTGGTATAAAAATTCTGTCAAAGTTCTTTAAATGTTGAAAAGGTTCTTCATACTAACAAATCTAATTTACAAAATAGTTCTTCAAAAGAACCACTTACTGAAATGTTTTATAGTGGCTCCTCTTTGGTATAGCTCCAAACGTACGCTTTTGGCTCCTTTATTTTTAAGAGTTTATTTTTCCTCTCCGTCCTCTAACCTCTTCTTTCCACTTTCCTTTTTCTCTGTCCCACTGTGTCTCTCTTTCTCCTTCCTCACAAGACGAAAACCAGTTGTCACCTTGAAGGCGGGCAGGCGTCCAGAAATCTACAAATCTTTCTCGAAAGAGAACATGAGGCTACATTTCATGCGAAACTTTTCCAAGCCAATCAAATACTGTGGGATGCATGCTGATGTGATTACTGCTGCTTTAAAATCTGCCAAGAGGTGCCCCAAACTCTTTAACAGGTTCAATCACTTTCATCTTCTCTCCTCTGGTGCTCTGAGCTGGATCTGCTCTGTCAGGTGTCCTGCTGGGCGCTTTACCAGAGAGACTCAGAAGCTTTTTCTGGATGAGCAGAACTCTGCTCCCTCAGAAGCTTTAGTCTCTCAGACTAAAGTCTCTCAGTCTCTCAGACGGTTTCCTGTACACAACGTTTACAGCTGGTATAGTATTTCACTGTAAACAAAAAAGACGAGCTGCTACTGTAGGGAAAACTGTGGTGAAAATTGCATTCCTTTAAGCCTGGCCATTTACCGTTTATACTATTATAACTGTAATAAATCTATTTCATTTTTATTTAGTGTGACACACTGGGAAAACCTTTCTTGTTTATACAGGTATACATGGGTGCACACACACACACACACACACATATATATATAGCAGTGGAAATGCTGTTAATGACAGTTACTGTAATTTTATTAACAGTCATTTTCTATAATTTCATCTATTGATGTCCATGTTTATGTTTATGAAATGATGTAGATTTCCCAGTAAGTTAACTGTGAAATCTTTATTTACAGTGTGGAACTCAAACCAGTCAACACTATATCACCCTGGTTCACTCCAGCATTACACTATATCACCCTGATCCACTGTAATATTACACTATATCACCCTGGTCCACTCATTATTACATTAAATCACCCTGATCTGCTCCAGTGTTACACTATATCACCCTGGTTGACTGTAGTATTACCCCATATCACCCTGTTCCACTCCAGTATCACCCCGATCCACTGTAGTATTACACTATATTACCCTGGTCCACTCCAGTATTACACTATATCACTCTGGTTCACTCCAGTATTACACTATATCACCCTGATCCACTGTAGTATTACACTATATTACCCTGATCCACTGTAGTATTACACTATATTACCCTGATCCACTGTAGTATTACACTATATCACCCTGGTCCACTCCAGTATTGCACTATATCACTCTGGTCCACTCAGTATTACACTAAAATACCCTTGCCCACTCCAGCATTACACCATATCACCCTGATCCACTTTAGTATTACAGTATATCACCCTGGTCCACTCAGTATTACATTAAATCACCCTGATCCACTGTAGTATTACACTATATCACCCTGATCTGCTCCAGTGTTACACTATATCACCCTGGTTCACTCTAGTATTACACTATATCACCCTGATCCACTCTGGTATTACACTATATCACCCTGGTTCACTCTAGTATTACACTATTTTACCCTTGCTCACACCAGTCCTACCACCTTAAAAATACAGTGAACAGAAGCATGACCTCACTGACCTTTGTGCCTAAGTGCACTTTCACGTCCACTTTCTGCTTCTTTTGCTCCAGTATGCTGAGCAGGTACTCCTGAAACACTCCAATCTTGGTGAAGAAGTGCTCGTTGTGCCAGCAGCCCTCCATGTTGTCGAAGTCCACGCCGAGGCCCAGCAGGAAGCGCACGCTGCGCGGGTCCAGTGCGATCTGCTGCGGTCTGCAGAGCAGCGCCGTCCTGTAGCGCTCGTCCAGCACGGTGAGTTTCAGCACTTTGCCCGTGCGGACAGCGACCAGCGCCGCCGTCAGCCCGATGGGTCCAGAGCCCACCACCAGCACGGAGATGCGCGCGCGCCACTGCCGGATGCCGTCCAGGCTCGCTTTGACAAGCACGTACACGGCCACGGCCAGCAGCGTGCTGAGTGCCGTGTCGCACGCGCTCCCGTACTGCCCGTCCGCGCTCGAGTTGGCGCGCGGGGCCGCGCCGTCCGCCCCGTCCATCGCGGGCTGTTTCCTTCACTCCCCCGACAGATACGCTTTTTCCATCACGCGGTGACCACGCTGCAGCTGGAGAGAAGCGCGCGGTGAAACTGACCGGCAACAACAAAAAGCGCACACAAAAAAACGGACCTTTCCACAACTCAGATCTCCTCCTGTCCGCGTGGATTCACCTGATGCACCAAAGCCGGAGAGAAAGCGCAGCGCGCGCGCTGTACTGCGCTCTTGCAAGGGCTGAGCTGACTGGCGCGAGAGTGAGTGTGTCAGAGTGTGTGAGAGCGTGTGGGAGTGTGTGGGGGTGTGTGTGGTGTGTGTGTGTGTGTGCGCGCGCGCACTCTGAAGCGCTGACTGAGAGACGAGCTCTTTCGCCTCTCGGGACAGGACACGTTGTGGTTTTCTTTTCTCCCACCCGCATTCCAACAAGCCCCGCCCACCCGCTCTACGATTGGTCACTAGGCCACACAACACTCAGAAGCAGTTTTACGATAGTTTGTCGGAATACAGGTGGGAATAAAACTCGCTCTGCGTCGCTTAGCAACGAGAGACGCTAAAAAGGACTTTGGGCTTTTTATTTAGATTTAGGTTCGCGTTATCGAACTGATTAGCTTTTAATTATTTGTTTATATAAAAGTGGAATATTTGTGAACTGTTAGCCAATCCTAGCGCAGGAGGCGGGGTTAGGCGGTATACAGGTGGGCGAAAAAACTACAACGCGGATAGACAGCACCCTTACTAAACCTATGGCGGTCCGTCAAAGCAGCTTTACAGTAATTCTGTGACACATTGCTTACCTAAAGCTAGAACACCCAAGAAATGACTAGAAACAGTCCTCAATGCAGCACCTACTGTCAGTATTGTTTTCCCACATTAAAGCCTGTGACCCGTTACTCAGCACTGAAGATCCAAGGGCGATGTGGAGGCCTCTGGCTTTTGCAACACGAACCAAATGTATCTTTAGAAACATACCTCTCAGAGTTATTTTCAGCCATTATTGATCTATGGGGCCAAAAGGAGTCAAGTCGATGAAACTCATACATATACTCCACTAGAGCCCTGCCAGTGACTGTGCAAAACTGATAAAGCAGTTATGGGGTGCTCGTAGGGAAGAGATGTGAGTTAAAGGGGAATTCCACCCATTTTTCAAAAGCTCTCCATAATATACTGACTAAGATGTAGACAGAATCAATCACTGCAGTGGTGATAGGACGTCCGAAGTGTTTAATGCCTCTAAAAGCTCCCTCACAGAAAGTTATTACATTGAATGGTAATGAACATGGTGCCTGATGCATGAGGCATTGTTTTATGATAGTTTTGACGCAAACTTTTTTTATATTTATAACTTTAAATTCATTAATGGCGGAGAGGCACATGAAGGGCATTGTAGGACAAACCGGTCCTCATAGAAAGCATTTGATTTTACACTATTCCACCATCATTACGAGTAAATATAATACAGTACCTTTAGTCAGGGAACATAATTGTACCATAATCTATTGAAATTATATTTTTACACACCCCGTCTCATCTCCAGGCTTTTTGTTTTAAAACACTAGGTCATGAAATCATACAAATATGTATTTTTCCCTGGGAAAAACTAATTTAAGGTACACAATGTTGTACCTTTAAGGAGACATTTACGTTGTTTGGACCTTGAACAATAAATAACATTGTGGCCCCTGGTTCCTATCCTATCCACTGTAAAGAAATAGGAAAGAGTAGGAACAGGAAAGTTTCTCTACAATCAATCATTTTACATCAAACAACTCTACACCGATCAGGCATAACATTATGACCACCTCCTTGTTTCTACGCTCATTGTCCATTTTATCAGCTCCACTTACTATATAGGTGCACTTTGTAGTTCTACAATTACAGACTATAGTCCACCTGTTACTCTGTATACTTTGTTAGCACACTTTTACCCTGTTCTTTAGTGGTCAGGACCCCCATGGACCCTCACAGAGCAGATACTATTTGAGTGGTGGATCATTCTCAGCACTGCAGCAACACTGACGTGGTGGTGGTGTGTTAGTGTGTGTTGTGCTGGTACAAGTGGATCAGACACAGCTGTGCTCTCACTGTCAGTCCACTCACTGTCCATTCTATTAGACACACATGCATTGTTGGTCCACCCTGTATATGTAAAGCCAGAGACGATAGCTCATCTCTTTCTGTACTGTATAAGCTAATCATCCTCTAGTCCTTCATTGGTGGTCACAGTACGCTGCCCACAGGACGCTGTTGACTGGATATTTTTAAGTTGGTGTTTAAAAACTCCAGCAGCACTGCTGTGTCTGACCCACTCGTACCAGCACAACACACACTAACACACCGCCACCACGTCAGTGTTACTGCAGTGCTGAGAATCATCCACCACCCAAATAGTATCTGCTCTGTGAGGGTCCATGGGGGTCCTGACCACTAAAGAACAGGGTAAAAGTGTGCTAACAAAGTATGCAGAGAAACAGATGGACTACAGTCTGTAATTGTAGAACTACAAAGTGCACCTATATAGTAAGTGGAGCTGATAAAATGAACAATGAGCATAGAAACAAGGAGGTGGTCATAATATGCCTGATCACTGTATGTTTTTATGTCTAAATGAATAAGAGTAAGAAATTTTTAAAAAGAAATCTCCTTTTTTAAGCATGTAAGTGCTATCCAACAGCCCAGTGTTTAAAATTTTGCATAGAATGTGTATATATTAGAAATATAAGATGAGGACTTCATACCATGATCAAAAACCAGAACCAGGTCAGATTTCTCCTCGGCAATTACATCACTACTCTACTACTTTGTCCATCAACCCATGTCCAACATCTAAATTTGGTATGATGAAGAAACATGCCATGGAACTTGTTCTGATTGGCCTATGATGATAAAATTTGTGCAGTTATACCTTCGATGAACACCTAACACTACAGATTTGATTTTGTTCTTATTATTTTCATATATTTATTCACTATATTCACAGATTTAGAATTCCTGTTGTTTTGTTAAAAATCTGTAGTCTGATCTGACCAAAGTCTAAATACAAGCAGATAAATGAAGTGGTTAAAAACTCCCTTTTTGTCTGTATGGTTTGATCAAAGCTCAAAGAAAAAATAGATCGATGGAAAAATAATATTTCAGATATGAATTTTAATTGGTTAACCCCTTAGAATCGCAGGTTTATTACATACTAAGGCTTATTATTTTTCACAGGGACTTCAATGCAAACAGTCTAAGCAAATTTGAGGGGTTAATTGAAATCTCCAATGCCTTTCCTGCACACAAAATGAGTTTTTGCGTGGTGTTGAGGTGCAACCTCAGATATCTTTGACCTGAGGACTTTCTCTCTTAGCTACTGTTGCCATGGGCTCACTCTTTGACTTCAAACTGATTGCAGTTGGAGTGCAGTTGTAGCAGTGGCAATAGAAAGGAGTACTCAAAAAATGAAATGGCACTGAATTGAGTAGCAGAGAGGTTGCAGCACTCTCTGATGGGCTCAGCTACGACAGGATCACAGAGTAGGGCTCATCAGCACTGAGCTAAGAGAACAGAGAGGCAAAGAACAAATACCTTCAGCTTCTCTGCCATTTCTACAGTAGATCAATGAAAAACACACTGCGGAGTTCTCACACACACCCAAGGGAGCTGCGTCAGGGAAGAACGACACACACACACACACACACACACACACACACACTCACACTAAAGCCTATAGAGAAAGGAGCATGGAGAGACAATTAGATATGGTAAAAAGATGACTGCTCATTTCGGAGCTTAATTATATCTGCAGCCCTTGTATGTGGAATTCTACACTGGAACAAAAATGGACAATATATGTAGGGAAACACATACACAGAGTTTAAAACCCTACATTGTACCAGCACTATAAACACTAACGTGCCACTATGATTTCCATATCACTGCTCTGCTCACCTTCATAATATCTGGTCACCAGTGGTCCAGTGGTAGTCCCTTTCAACTGCTGGATAGGGTAAAGCGGGGCTGACAGGTGGGCAACAGTCAGTAACTGTGAACAAGGTGAACCAATATGGTAAGTGTTTTCAACAAAAATGGTTAGTGACTTGTGGTACATCTATAAAAAAAATCATGGTAAAATTATGGTAAATTTATAATTCATGAAATTTATGGACATTAAAAATAAATAACAATAAAATAACCACTGTATACTGTGACTGCACAGTGGAACCACAAGATTACAGTAATGTAGTTGTATTCTGCTGTACTCTTACAGTAAGTCATAAATAAAATAAAGGAAATCCTCCGTATTTTTACACTTTTTCAAGTGTAAAAGTAATACAAATCATTAGCTAGCAATTTAAAGTAAATTTACACGATAAAATTAATTTTAATTTCACCAGACCAATAATTTTTTATTTTTTTATTTAAATAAAATAAACTACTTTTTTGCACTTTATATTAACAGGATATCTCAAGTAAGCATTTTAAAACACAAATATACATTTCACAGACAGTTTAGCTTTACTTATAATTTGCCCAAATCACCACAAACTGTTGACCATACCAAAAACAATACAAATTTTTTTCAACACCCAGCATTTATAAAAGAAAACAAACCTCTAGTGTAGAACCTGAATTTTCCAAATAAAATCTCAAAATGTTTTCATTAAAATGTTTACACCCTTTTTAACTCTCAGATGCTACCATGTCCCATAACTCTGCTCAGTACAGCTACTTAAACTCAGTAATTTGCTGTGTTATTGCAGAAAATATGTGAAAGTGAACTGATTTCATTAGTGTTCAAAATTAGTGTTAAATTTTGTGAAATTCTGGGAATAATTGAGGGTTGGTGCACTTAATAACCTGACAACTCAGTGTGATTAAAATACTAAAAGATCTCTCAACCACATTCATACATACACACACTTTCTCTCACATACACATGCATGCTAATAGAAATGACATTCAAAGGTTAGCATTACTCAGATGAATCACAAAAGCTAGACACATCATTATTTTCATCACACTTTTGG